TGTGCTTACGCAGAGGCGGCCTACACTGGTGGTGAGGATTATGTCAAAGAGACATTGTGCATTTGATCGACACTTGTAGAAATCTTAGTTATGATAATATTCAGGTCGGATTAACTGCGCGACAAAATTGAATTGATTATTTAGTACAAATAAACACACACACACACACACACACACACACACACACACACACACACACACACACCACACACACACATATACACATATACACATACATATAAACATACACGCACATAAGCACACACACAAATAAGCACACACCCGCACATACGTACAAACACACACACACATACACACACACACACACACACACACACACACACACACACAAACTATAAGAAATGCACACTTACGCTCATCCTCGCGCATCATTATCATCATTGCCTTTCTCACACTTGATTGGGACATAGATCTAGGCCACGAACAAACACTTTCCACCTTTCCTAGTCGCTTGATATCACTCCAGGTCTTCCCACTTTTCTGTACATCCATTTCCGTTACTCTTCTCCAGGTTCCACGTTATCTGCCCCTTGATCTTTTACCCTGTGGGTTCCAATCTAACAATTTCCTTGTTATACAGCTGTTTGACTTCCTGACAGTGTGTCCAATCCATCGCCAACCCCTTCTTCCCTCCCCATCTCTGACTGGGTTCGATCTCGTTCTTCTTAATAATTCCTCGTTGGTGAACCTGTCTGTCCATCTGCTCCATTGAAGCTTCCTCAGACACTAGTTCAAGATAACCTGGATCATTTTCATGCACGTCTGAGATGCGTTCCACGTCTCACATCTATACAACAAGACTGACTTCACATTAGAGTTGAAAATTCTCAGCTTTGTCCGTAATGAGATATTCCTGGTCTTCCAAATCCTGTTCAAAGAAATAAAATGCAGTATGTGCCTTCTCAAAGGGTGACTTTCTTTCAGCGCCTGTTCCTCCCTCTCTGGCAATTATACTCCCAAGATAGCAGAAGGACTCGACGTGTTCTAATGCATTTCCCTCGACTGTGACCTGTTCCTTTCGTAGTGCGTCTATCCTTAGGACGTTTGAATTTCCGGGGTGGATCTTTTTAATCCAACATACTCCGATAGGCTGTTTAAAATTGTTGTCTTCTTCCACGCGCACAGGCATGTAAATTATTAATGACATAATACAATATAAATAGAGAGCGAAAGAGCGATAGAGAGAGATAGAGAAAGAGGGAGAGAGAAAGAGAGAGAAAGAGAGAGAAAAAGAGAGAGAGAGAGAGAGAGAGAGAGAGAGAGAGAGAGAGAGGGGGGGAGGGGGTAGTTAGTGTGAGTATATTTGTGTTTGGTTAGTGTGAGTATATTTGTGTTTGTTTGTATGTGTGTGTGTGTGTGTGTGTGTGTGTGTGTGTGTGTGTGTGTGTGTGTGTGTGTGTGTGTGTGTGTGTGTGTGTGTACGTGTAGGCGCTCACGCACGTGCAGGTATGTGTGACTGTAATTGTACTCGTGCGTAACTGAGATTTTACCACTTATAAATCGTACTACTACAACAGACATTCACCTGTTTCCTCACAGAAACTGACCATCAGCAAATTATTTTCCAATTACAAGCAAATATCTACATCCTTTGGTCCATTTTATAAAATGCTAACTAAGTTGCTTATCGTTACATTTTAACTAGTCTTATTTCCATTGATTGATTTCTTTAAAAATTTGCTTCGATTTTTTTTTCTTTCTATATTTTCGGGAAGAGGCAGGGAATGAGGGGGGGGGGGGGTGAGGGAGTCATTCAGTGCAAGCTTAAGTATAATAATAGTATGCCGTCCTCATTCAATCGTTACACCCTTCCCAATTCCGTATTAAATTCAATTTTACCGTGAACTAGACACTATTATTTCCTCCGATTTCCTTTCCTCTGACCTACTTCTTTTTATCTATATATCTCTAATACAAGAAATCGATTAAAAAGAACTTCGATGTGAACCCTTATGTTCTGTAGGGAACATCTACTCTCATTAGAAGCTGTAACTAAAGCGTTAACGTTGCAAAGAAGAATAATAGATTTGTTAAGAACCCTCATCCCATTTGTCCCACACGACGTAATGCGGGCTATAATTGAGCCAGGCCGACAGAGACAAAATAATACGCGAATTCTAATGGTGTACTTAGTAAACGAACGAAAAACATCTCCAAGGACGTTTTTTTATATCTATATAAACCACTCGAGATAATGCCATCGTCTCGTTTGCTGTAAACAAAAGTAGAAGATGATTTAACCAACCGTTTTTGAGCTTGAAAAAAAAAAGACTCGCTTGCTTGTGAATTGTCTGTTTTTATCGCCTAACGTGAGAAATCCTCCTTCTAAACCGACAACTTTAGAGTTAAGAGCTTTCACGCGGTTGTCTGTCGATTCTTTGTTTTGGTTCCACTTAATTTGCAGCGTTCTGCTTGCCGCTGGCTATTGAGGTGTGAATGTATAACTCTGGAGACGACATCTGCGAAAGGAGGGTAAAGTAGAGTGCTCATCAATTAAGCGTACTGGTCTCGATAGGACGCAATTAGACCCGACCCAGTTCGTCCGCTCTTAGTTAACACCAGCACATAAAATAAGATTTTGACCTGTACCATGTTATTACCATATTATTACTTTGCACAATACCATGTCCTTGGGAATTTCCATTTATCATTTTCGACTCTCTTCAGCACACTGATGCTTAGATTCTAAAGAAACTCACGAAACTTGCACGACAAGCGAATTGACACAAGCCACGCAACTAGCAATTCCTTGAGCCTTGGCCTGCGGTTATTTTTTTAAAATACTCGCAGCAGCAGTCACGCTGGGATTAATAAAATTGACATCTTGTCAGGTTCGTTTGCAGAGTCCTCACAGGATGTGGAGTGATTTTTTCCAACTTTTTAAATAACTTCAAGCTGTCATCGTGCTTAAAATGAAACTCATAGTAAGTTTGACTCCGATGACGCATTTGAAAATAAATACACATTTATTTTTTCTTAACTATAATTTCCTTTACCCCAACACCGCATGTACCACAAGCTCAAGGAAAATATCTAGCGTAGCTTGGCCTAAATTAATGTTGGGACTCACGACTTCCCCAACAGCCGGCCTCAACCAAATCGGTCACCCAAGCAACGATTTTCAAGTGGTTTTCTTTCCTAGGATCAAGGCTATATCCTATAGAGTGCGTTGTCCCATAATTAAATATATTATATCAAATTGACGAGACAGAGAGACAGAAAGAGAGACAGAGAGAGAGAGAGAGTGAAAAGAGAAAGAGAGAGAGAGAGTGGGTGAGTGAGAGAGAGAGAGAGAGAGAGAGAGAGAGAGAGAGAGAGAGAGAGAGAGAGAGAGAGAGAGAGAGAGAGAGAGAGAGAGAGAGAGAGAGAGAGAGAGAGAGAGAGAGAGAGAGACCAGCTATCCACTAGGGTTCATCGGGCACTCTTCATGGCTAAAATTGTCGATCATGAACTTTGTGGGTCGAAGCCCGTCTCCTAAATGTTCTAAATTGTGTCGTTGTGGGTGTAAAAGCGTATTATTATACTTTAACAAGGAAAGTTACTGCATGGCCATTGAAGATCTGGAAGCAATATTTCTCACCCTGCTGGCCTTCATCTAACTTCTTTGCATACTTTGGCCTTTGCCTATGAGGAACTAACTTCATTATCTGTTAATGCGTTACCATGAGCTGCAATCATCAATGCGAACGTCTAGCTTTATGCTTAGCGCTCATTTTAACAATGTAAAGTTGTTTAAGTGGTGGGACCTCCAAATTTAACACTAGTCTCAGACAGGACAGATTTGAGGTGACCAACAGCTTGAAAATCTCAACAAAAAACTAAGTCCATAACGCTCTGACAGGGATTAGAATCAGATTAGTTTCATGGTTCAGCGTGATACCTACTTTTGAGCTAACGGCGTGCCCCTATCATGTGTAAAGTGAGTGGATTTAGTCATATTTAGTCAAATGCCACGTTATTAATGACATCTGTTCCCACTGTAAAGTGAATAGATTTAAAGATAGATTGCATCTAAAACCATGTAAAAATGGCATCGGTTTCCTCTGTGAAGGAAATAGATTTAGAGATAGATTTCATCTAATGACATGTACACATGGCATCTGTTCAGCAATATACACCCATAACGATCTGCAAAATCAGATCTAATCGAACATGTTTGGAAGAGTGACCTGGGTTTGAATTTGATAATTTGCACTCTACTTGCTTGCATTCGTACCAGTTTTACATATTTCGATTTGTACACAAGTGTTGATACACACCAATACAAACGCGTACATTCTTTTTAGTTTCTTTGATTGCACTCAATTTTCCCCAGTCTGAATTTTTACAGTTAATCTTTCAGCGACCATATCTCGAGTGTCTCTTATCGTTGATTAGATTTTAATATTAAGGTGCCAGATGACGCGCTATCTATTTCGCTTAATATTGGTTTGCTTCTTGACTAGGTAGTATACGGCTTTCACAAATCAAATGTGTGAATACATTTTCAAGTTTCTTTCGGACGCCTCTGTATCCATTGTATAAATAATATAATGTATATATACGCACACACACAACCTGGTAAGAAGTATTTCAATGTAAGCATACATTTGTGCCAACTTTAGTGTGCGTTTGCTGTCGCAGAAACAAACGGGAGCGCAACATATCTGTGAGTATGTGTGCACGTTCTCGCTTGCGTATCTGTGCCCACGCGTGTCTGTCTATCTATGTACGCGCATCATGTACGTGGGATGCCAACCAGATCTTCATGCTGAGCGAACTAGTTAAATAAATGTACGTCCTGCTGGTAACAGCTATTGTACTGTTACCGATTCACGACCCCCCCCCTTTCCCCCCTACCCACACACACGCACACGCGACGCAAGCCCTCCTGGCTCGCTCTGTTGCTGTCCGCCGCCCCATTTTCGCGGGCAACCCAGGCCTCAAGTCTCTCTCTCTTCCCTCGTGAGTTGGTTCGAAGTTAAACTGGGCAATGAGTTGCAAAAAGTGGATAATATGTTAGTGGACCTCTTCGTGAAATAGTATGATATGAACCGCTTCGGCAAAAGGGTTAGAACCACATCGACAAACGGGTCAGCACTAATTCAACAATTAATGGATGCACCCACTTCGGCAAACGGGTTAGGAAAGAGTGTGAAGAGTCTGAATTCGGATAAATGCTTCATTGAGAATTATCCGGTTATCCTTATAGATTATCCGGATTTTGCCCACCTCTGGTCCGAAGTGTAGCAAAACTCGAGCACTATTCAGACCTGTGAATGGATGAGGCAGCAGCGGGATCAAATTAATCTCGCGATGCTGTTGGAGAGAAGAACTTTTACATTTGTTTTATATCACTCAGTGGGCCGCTCTTGTGGGACTTCCCAGTGTCATTTTGTACTCTCCTTGTCGGCGAGTGCCATGGCTTGATAGAATTAACGAGCATTTCAAGAGATTGGAATTATTTCTGTTCTACAAAAGGATGGACTAGAGTTTGCCTATTGGTAAGTTTTTCAAACGTGGCATTAATATGAAGCACCTGTGTTGCCTATTATTTTTTTTCGATAGCACGATCTTCATTATCATTATTAATATTGTTTACCTTTATTTTCTATGTTATCTTTTTTTCTTTCTTTTGTTTTGGTGGTTTCGTGTATATTTCTAGTGGGTTTTTTGTTTGTTTTACTTTTTAAAATAATATTGTATTCTTTTCATGTATTTGTTTTCTTTCTTTTCCTTAGATGGAGGTTTGCTGGCGGGCAATCGAATTTCTTCTTCTTTTTTTTTTTTTCTTAATTAGGAATAAACGAAACCTCTTGTATTTTCATATACTGTGAAATGATTTTAAAGTACTGATAACCATAATCAACTGATTTGACATAATTATTGTACTGAAAAACAGATAATTTCATATGCTTCGTTTTAATATTGGAACAATTATTGTAAACCTAATAAGAAGGTTATAATTTGCGCCTCACTTCTTAAAAATGTGTTTTTATAATTTCTAGAAATGACAAGAAATTAGAGAATGGTTGGATCGAAGAAAGGACGTGCCTTTAATAAAGAGGGGTATAATATGTACGTATGTATGTATGTGGGTGTTAGTGTGTGTGTGTGTGTGTGTGTGTGTGTGTGTGTGTATGTGTTTGTATGTGTGTGTTTATGTGCGTTTGTGTGTGTATGTGTTTATGTGTATGTGTGTGTGTGTGTGT